TAATGTATATTAGTTTTTACGAGCTCTCGTACTCACGATATACATTTACCCTATAAATCATGCGGAGGGCCCCGCCGTATTGGTGTCAAAATTATAAGTGGCATTTGTTACAATACGAACATATGTAAAGTCAGCGGGATATCCGAGAAGCCGGGTCGATATTTCTTCCCTGTGGGAACAGGTGAGCCGCCGACTATTCCAAAACATTAGGTGCGTTTCGGCTTAAATATAAATTTTAAACAAACAGACGGGAAGACAAATTTTATTCGGAGCTCCGATGAATTATCGAGGTCGTTATGAGGCTGTTATATAGAAAATATTGCTCATTATAAATAGGTAATTACGATTTTTATGTATAATTCCCGTATACAAGTTATATTGTATGTGAATTTGAGTGTAAAAACCTGATGTTAATTCAATAATTCGTGCAAAATAACTATACCTAAATCATTTCGGACGTGATATATATAATTTTTTCGACAAATTCGAAAAAAAATTAACGCGTACGTTACGGATTCGAATTACTATGCACTCGCTCGCATGTATATTCCATTCTTCTTTTTAAAACAAACATGCAATACAATGAACCATAAATAACAGTAATGAATTGCGTCCGATAACAAATTCGAATAAATTTTATCTAAATGTTATTGCGTTAAATTAAATTGTAAATTTTAATGGCGCTCCCCCGGACAAATTGCGTTCGATATTATTAATGGATCCCCGAATAAAAATTCGAAAATTCCGGTGAACCTACTCCGAGAAAAATCATTAATCATCCAATCAGTTTAGAAACCCTCCAAGTGATTATACGGATTTCCTTGGCATTGGTTTAAGAAGAAAATATGTAATACAATAAATCGCTTATCAGTTATCCCAACAAAACATTAAATAAAGAAAGAACGTTGAACCTAATCAAAAAGGAATAATATATTGATTATGGGAACCACAAATCACCGAAAAAATATATTTAAACTTCCTTGCATCTTGTGAAACGGTTTTTATCTAACGTGTTTTATTACGGATGCTTGGTTTTATCATTTGACCTATGTTGCTTCCTGATGATATGGAACTGGTGGGTGTTTTAAGATCGAACTCGATGTATATCGAAAGCTGTAAACAGAAGATTAGACTCTAATCCACGTTTAATGAAAAGAAAAAAACACACTAGGTTCCTCTATTCGAATACCACAATTGATATTTAATCTTTATTTAGATATACTAAAATTAACATAACTTATCTCGCTCTTAACTTATCGAATTGAGTTAATTAAAAAAAATTAAATAAACAATAATGTTTACGAATCTCCAGGTATAAGTTTTTCGCAATCAAGATTACGAAAACTAGCGTTTTTCTCTTCAAATTATTCTTTAACAATGTTGCATACTTATCGGATGCATTGTTACTCGAGTTTTAGTGCACCAAGTGAGTTTACATCCGGTAATTTACACGCTAACCTATTCCACCAAAAATCGCGACTAATCCTACAGACCGATGGGCATAGCTCGAGACGTCGCTTGCGCGAACGGGCGAGCGAAATAATTTCCTCAATACAAGCAATAAGTCGAATGTTTTGTATCGTTTAGTTTCGAGCGCAGCAATAATAAAAGAAAACGTGCGCGATTAAAATTGTCAATAAAAGCTCGTAGACACGCTCGCATCAAATAAATCGATCGGACGATAAGCCGTTTAAAAGAAGTGGATGTACGGTCGTTGGAAATCAAAATGGCAGACGTACAACTCCAATAAATACCTAGCTATACGAAGATGACTTCTTAGTTTTATGATAGACAACTGTCCGTCGGGAAGGGAAAAAAAGTCGACGAGGAGTCGGACAGAATTTTAAATTTGTAGAGAATTAGCTTTCCCACGTATCAATTGTAATCGATTCTCGGTAAAAAAAACTGTATGAAATATACGGAGCGGTTTTCTCGGCGAGCACCACCTTATACGGCCATTATCTTATTGGAGTGATCGTTATTAAAATTCAATAACCATTCTTCCTGTTTCATAATTCATATTGCGCTGCCTGCTACTGGTATTGGTCAGTTATCGACGGTCCTGGTTATTTTTTTTTTATTTTATTGTTACTCTTGAAATGGTTTCTTGCTACATACCAGTTTCGTTACATAGAAACTGCACGCTTCGGTATTTGTTTTCGATATAATGGACGTTTCTATACACCTACCATCTTTGGTAAATCGAATGAAAAGTATTTTACACTCCCTAGGAATACAGAGAAAATACGTCTCTCTAATCTTATATCGATAAAAATTCTACTACTTGACGCATTTAAGAGAGTCAATTATCTAATTAGAGGGCTGATTATCCAACAATAGAGTCAATTATGCATTTAAGAAAGTTCTTTAAAAGGGCGCAAAAGTTGCCCTACTGGAATAACCAAATTATATATCCAAAACATGTTACAACAATAAAAAATTTAATGGTTAATTAATTTATTTTAAGAAACTTTAACCAGTATTCGGTCGACTTTAAATCATCCCGATACTAAACAGATGTACGGGGGAACGCGAATATTTTTCAAGATGCGTTCTCGATCCAGTCTCGGGGGCAATATTTTCGAAACGGGCGTCTATTCCTGGTGTTCCGGGCACCGGCGCGAGCGTATAAAAATCGAAGAAATATCGGACGTAAATTATAATTTGTCTGCGGACGCTTTGCTACAACAGCGACGCCCCGACACCGAACGGCGGACCCGGTAATTAACGATCTTAAACTTACATTTTTCAAACGCGAACTGCCTAATATTTCACACAATAAATTTCGTCGCCGTCAAATGCCTACAAACGGCTATTTATAAAATTTCTGTTCGTTCGGAGATTTTTTTTATTTACGACCGCGTTCATTTTTTGATACTATTTTAATAAGTATGCCTAATTAGTCGACTGCTGCATATCTACAGATTCTTAGGGAGATGTTTAATTGGATTTTAAAATGTATCGATGTAAATATGTAAGAGACCTTTGTTAAAGCATTTATTATATATTTTTAGATACAAGTTTATAATGCAGGTACCTCAGTATGCAATTTTAAATATCGTTGCGAAGTTTAATAAACGGTCATCAAATTCAATTACGGCCGATTGTACTATTATCGCAAGTTAAAATATTACATTAAACTGTTATAAAGTCAATGAAAGTGATTACGCTTTAAGGTGAATTTAATCACGATTGCGGCTATTAAGTCATTATAAAAGTACCATTAGTAGTAAATCTATAACGTTTACGTCGGAGAGAGCGTGAGTCCCGGCTCCATTATTATCTAATCTGTATTCAAAAAGTGTATATTGACATCATAACGGCGATTTCAATTGATTCTTCATTGTCTCAACTTTTTAAATCCCACAAGAAATTAAATGTTTACAGTGAGCGATGGAAAATTGATGCTGATGCTCTTGCAGTGCTTTGTATGCAATTTTTATTGGCCCTAACATGAAATAAAACAAAAGTAGGACAAGCTGTATGTTTATATTCCACTCTACTATCGACTGATAGTACTGGCAAAGCTATATATACATAACATAGTGGTCTTTAGATTGCCGTTGTTTACATGTAGTCGAAGCAAATATTGCAAAGCAAACTTTAAAAAGCGATATTATCAGACTTAAAGACTGATGGAAATAATCGTTACTATTAAAAATATATCATTACGTCGGTCAATATAGAATGCGCTGTAATTTTAGATCGGTTCGTGAATGTTAAAAATTTTTTATCGTCTGCTATAATTCCGCTATATCTACGTGTTAATTTCGCCTGTATAGGTATATCGGAAGATCGGTGGAAAACGTGGTAATTAAAAAAGAAATATCCGAAAACTAACGCAATATTATTTACTTATATTTACAGTAATAGGAAACTATAAAAAGAACATAAAAAATATAATGAATCCTATAATGGAGATAGAAATCAACACATCATTCGCGTCGGGATTATTGAATAATAAATTACGGAAATTAATGGCTCTTGTTTTACTATCTGGTATTTCGATTATGTATTTAATTATTTGTATAGGTATAGGTAGGAGATTTTTTTACTAAAACTGCAAAATTGGTCCTTATTTGCGCACGTTCCAATTATATTCCAGCTATCTAGTTATCTAGCTATTTTTTTGAACATTTTTTATCGAATTTTCCATTTTAAATTAACCGCTCGGCAACCTTCAGGTTGTTGCATTGCCTCACGAAATAACGAAAAATTATGGTAAAGGCCAAAATGATAAATAGATAAAATATATCGAAATTCGACGGTATATGAATTATTAATATTTTCGGAAATTATTAGAGTGTACATGTCGCTTATCGGAAAAAATTCGAGTCCACGTTAGTCGAGCATGTCGTTGATAAAGTAACCTATAGTTAAAAATTCAAATCTTTAAAAATATAATTTATAGCGCTTTAAGTTATAAAAAAAATAGTTCATCATAAATCATTGTTTAATTAAGAATTTTCCGAATAAAGTTAATTAAATGCGTTTCGAATTGAAATAAGAAAAACGTAAAAAAAATCTTCTTACACTAAGAATGCAATAAAATTACTTTTATAACCGCGATTAAAAGTTTTTAAATAGCTTTTATCATCATTTTCACCCACATCAAAGGTTATCGCTTCGCGTTTATTTGTATTTATTTTTGTGTGTTCCTTAAATAATATGGAAAAGGACTTTCTTCGCCGTTTAACATTTTTTTTTATCTAAATTTCCGAATAATTATTAAGTAAATTATGCGAGCAATAAACACAACTTTTATGAGTAAATTTTGTTGTATAACAAAAACGTTAGGGGAAAAGGTGGTATCCCTGATTTCTCGACAGTTGGTTTTATATGTTAGTTATTTTTTGGTGCACTCCTTGGTGATGTTAACAATTGGTTTATTTTTTAACACGTCGAATGCCGCGTTTTTTCCGTCACATATTCGATTTAAAACGGAGCGCTTGTTTGAGCGAATTAAATTGTGATAAAAGGGGTTGGTTCGGGCGGCTTACCCAATGCATCCCGGGCGTGTGAGAAGGCCGCTCTTCAAACACTCCCATCTGCAAAGGCGGCAAATCGTTGGCTCTCGATTTACTTGACAGCGTAGTGTCCGTATCCGTCGGAACCTCTCACAGGAAAAAAAATAACAAACTGGCACTTCGAAATCGCGACACTCGCGAGCGCAAAAAAAATTAGATTACTTCGAAAAAGAATACTCGCAACAACAAATGTTTACGCTAGGTAACGAACCGATGCACTCGTATACGGACTGTAAACAATATCTTGGTAAAAAACGAGCGATGGGCGCGCGCATGTCCCTCGAGACACTTGTGGAAAACCTCATTTATATGGGCATTTCGGGCCGTTCGACGGTGTAAAACGGTTTATTGTAAAAACATCCGCGCACTCGGACGGGTTGAATGCGGCTGCGGCCGGCGAGGAAGGCGCATGTGAGCGCCGCTACCCGGCGAGACTCCGCCTCGGCGCGGCGTGGAGAGGGTCCGGGGGACACCTAGGAGGCGCTTCGGCCGCACGCCGGTGTCCTATCCGGATCTAGACGCGCCGTTTCGCTCGCGGATAGATAGATAGCCGATAGATTAAATGTGTGGAATTGATGTTCTGGATGCGTTCGGTTCGTTTCCGGCGAGGCGGAACCGCCGCCGCGGTCGCGATGTTAGACCGGCTTCGGTTATATTCTATTGACAAATCAAAACGGTGATCGATATTTATTCGCTTCGCCAGGTTCGTGGATTTGATATGCTGATGAGTTATTAACTCTGCAGGGTGGCCAGAAAATAGATATAATTCCGTAAATCAGGATGTTAAGAAAATCGCCGAACGAAAGATTATAATAAATGTTCGATATGGGAACCCTTTCGTTGAAAACACTTATGAAACATAAGGAGAATATTTCTTTGTATTCTAAAGGGCATTTCTTGATTTCACAATAAAAAATTATTCTGTCCATTTAATTCATCACTTCATTTAGTGGAATTTCGTCTAAAAGAGGTGGTAAATTAATCTGAAGAAATTCGTAGATCGTGTCTATCAATATTTTTAGTAAATAGTTACAAATCGGTTGTAAAATTTGAATAGTTCAAATTAAATCCTAAAATGTGGCTTTATATTTTTTCTCTTATTAGAAATGCTGATACCACATTAAATTCACAACTTCCTAAACTAAAGAATTGAGGTATTAAAAAGTTTTTTTTGAAAAAGGAAGAAAACGATTTTACATATTTTTTAAAATGTTGACAATATGGTTCTAAAGTGCAATACATTTATATAGAAAAACATATGGGGCAATTGTAAAAAAATATTTGGTTTCTCTAAAATTTGATATCCTGTTTATTTATTTATTTCAAAAAATAACAGAGCTACAAAATAATAAAGAAAAAATAAAAAACAAACCCTGTCTAATGTCTTATTTACCATCATCATCATTGCAATAAAAATCCCCGCTTGTGCACACATTGTTCTAATCATCTATGTACTAAACACACAGCCAATTATATCCAATACATTCCCAATATCACGTATCAATTCAATACGAAAATAAGAAGCGTTCGACCATTTAATGGCAATACAAAAGCCCGAATTAAGTCGCAATCATTATCGTTTGCGGTATCGATTTCAGGCAGGTATATAGAATTTCGCAGTGGATGGAAAAAAAAACACTGTGGCGCCTATTGTCACCTGGCCTGATATTTCACTTGACACGTCCGATGGGACCCCTTGCGGTGCTCGAAATTTGCGGATATCGCCGGCTTGTATCGGTTACAAAAATTACTCGGCGAAATTGTCAAACGATCAGTCAATTCTTGTATATTATGATGTGAGATAAGGGTCGACGTGGCGCCGTTTAAAAATCCATTTTTCACGTCGCACTCCATATAATTTATCGGCTAGATGCTGGTAGATTTAATGGCTCTATTCGTTGTATTTTTAAATGCGAAAATAAAGATAAAATGGGCAACTAAATGTTATAAAGATAGCGTATTAACAGGTGTTGGGAATGGCTGAGTATACGAGTATAGAAAAGAATAGATTTTTTTTCTAATAGTTCCATAAATTTATTCTTTGAGTTCCTCCATAATCATCGATAAATTTTCCAATGCGCGCGCGTGAGAACGCATTTATTAAACGCGCCGGCTCTCTCTCTCCCGCGATGCACGATAATTCGTGTTTCATTTTAAATTTTCCGAAACCCAGTCGAAAATAAATAGATACATGGACGCGGGGCAGCGATAATATCGGGAACGTTCAAAATAAATAAAACGCGCGGACAGTATCTGCGTTATTGCATCTCGACGAGGAACAATAGCAAAATGGTTGCATAGATAGGAATAAGTAAGTGAGGCGACCGGTTGTTGTGGGTCTCGAGACTCGAAACTCGAAAGCGAACGCAAAGCAAAAAAATAACGTACGGTGTGTGTTTTCTTTTTATATGCACGGTAACAGTTCACGCAATTTCGATAAAAATCTATACCAATTAGTTATTTATGGTCGTTGTCGCTTTGTATATTGTCCAGTTTAATTTAAATTTCGACCTTTTTATACATGCAAACTGAAGATTACCTACTTAAGGTTACCGTAAACAGTGAAAGTTCAAGTTATAATGAAAAATAGATTAAGGAAAATTATATTATTAGAAGAGTTCTGAAAATGTTATAGATATTGACTCAAAACTTGCAAAGAACAAAGCAATTATAAGTCAAAAATGCCATTCCAACATCTCCACAACAAAATAAAAACGAACTATTATTACATTATTTAATACAAAGATAAATCAACTTTCGAAATTGATCCGTTGAAAGGGTATCTTGCTCATCTGGCCGAGATGCGGCAGCACCTCCAAGTACATCTTCTTCTTCATCTCCGGCAGAAACAGCGTGACGAAGAGCACGCACGTCGCCGACGAGCCCATGAACAGATAAAACGAATTATCCTTGCCGTGCATGTCGGTCAGCTGGAAGTAGAACTCGACGAAGAGCAGCGCCAGCGCCCAGGAGGCGGCGCACACCGCGGCGCCCACTTTAGCGCGCACCGCCGCCGTCAACAACTCGGCGCAGCTCAGCCATGGTATAGTCGCCAGGCCCATGTGGTAGCTGACGATGAACAGCAGCAGCGCCAGCGTCGGCAGGAAAAAGGCCACCTTGCACTCGTCCTCCTCGTCCAGCTTCGTTTTGATGGTGAAGTACAACCCCAGCAGGAAGGAGGACACCGCGCAGAGCGAAGCCGACGTGCACAGCAGCATCTTCCTACCCACGTGGTCGATGTACAAAGTGGTTATTAAAGTACCGACGAGGCACACTAAATATATTAGTATGAAACCGTATTCGGTGCGGATGCGCGCCGGGAAATTCACGAATATCAATTTAGCGTGGTAAATGACCGGCACCAATCCGCTGAAATGCTGGAACATGATCAGAAACAAGCAGATAATCGCCGCTTTGATTTGCGACGATGTCATCAACACCTTGCAGAAGCTATCCGGTCGCAATTGCTGGATTTCTATGATGACATACTTCAGTTCTATACCGTAATCGTAGTCGTTGCCTCTCAACCGCCGGTAGGATTCCGCCGCGTCCTCGTAGCGCCCTTTCATCGCGTAGTAACAAGGGCTCTCGGGCTGGTAGGTGAGGAAGAAGCCGAACACCAGCGAGGGCATCATGCAGAAGATGTTGAAGGCGGTGAGCGGTAGAATCCAGCCGAGGACGAAGCTGTAGAGGTAGCCCAACGTGATGAAGATCTGCACGGCGGCGTTCAGGATGCCTCTGACGTGCTTCTGGGATATTTCGGTGATGTAAATCGGCGCGAGAATGACGAAGCAACCGTTCGACAGGCCCGTTATGAACCTACCGACGTACAGCATGTAACGGTTCGCCGATGATAGTATGACCAACCAGCCGATCGCGAACGGTATGACCGTGCAAATCGAGGCGGTTCTTCGGCCTTTCGAGTCGGCCAAAAAGCCGAAAATTAAAGGGGAAAATACGGCGCCGGTTAGGAAAATCGATACGTTCATCATGATGTCTTCCTCGCGGAAGATCAACCCGTTTAGATCGCCTTGCATCAGTTTGTTGGTTATGTTCGAGCTCCAGGCTAGCGCTATGCCGAAGGAGAACGGGCCCAGGTACATCACCAGGGAGGATTTCACCTGGGGGTAGATTTTCGCAGAATCCATTTTGACGTCCATACATCAGCGCTCTTCTTTTTTTTAATTTTGATGGGTTAGTTCCACCAGCATGTTCCAAAACGGACTCGATTAGAGTATGATTTTACAATGTAACTGTCATAATTTTTAGAACTATTCCAGTGGTGCCAATTTTTCAGTAAAATTATAACGAACAGTTTTCTGACAAATTATCGTTTCGCTTTAATATTAGAAGGTCGGGGATGTCGAGAGAAATAACGGCGCGTGTAAAAGTCGAATGCAAATGCAGGATTTTAATTTCCGAGCAATTAATTTGCGCATCCGAATCAACGGAAGCCTTCTTTACACGAAAAAAAAAATACAAAGAGAAAGCGACCGTGTAAGAAGGGCAAGAAATTCCGAGTTTTATCTCGCGAAAATCAAACCCATGTTTCCTTTTGCTACTCGAAGCAAAAAAAAAACAAATTCCTATTGTTATAATTCCGAAATTCGACTCGATATCCGAAACGAAATAATTACCTATATAAAAGAATTTTTCTCGTTCGATTCACGAGCCGTTAGTAAATCTAATCTTCAAGTTTCTCATATTGTATAGAGTGGCGGCTACAAGGGGAAAATGACTTTGTAAATCATTCACATCCGACTGAGAACAAGCCGGCGATTTATGGATCTTCCTCTACGTGAACTCACTACACATTTATTCAGTTTTTTTAAAGTAGACAGCTACATATATATACAGGGCGTACTTGTATTAGATTGCATAATATTATAGAAATTTGTGTACAAACTACAAACATCGCTAGTTTTTAGTTCAATATTTGATCCTATAAAGTGTACGTTTTTTCCATAGAGAACCAGCTAGTACAACAACCGAATGATCGAAAGTACGTGTTAAACGCAACC